CTGGTATCCTCGTGAGTCCACACATGACTGCTGAGCTCAGAGTTCCAGAGCAGTCTGAATTTATTTATGAGATGAACTTGTCACACAGCTGAGGAGCTGCAGGTTTTTCATACTGAACAGGCAGGAATGATTTATTGTCGTGTTAATGTCAGGATATTTTAGTGTCAGATGGAGAGAGCTGAGCTCACACCTGGCTGTCTTAGCAGGAATGCTGATGTAATGTTTATCAGGAATGTTTACATGAAGATATTTAATGTTTTTATGGTGGATTTCAGAGGCGCTTTTTACGTTGACTAAAGATGACTGTTTATTATTTTGTACCACTAATTGGAGACAGGCAGGGTAGTCGGCTGTACTCGACCAAGTACAACTCTGATTCCAGTGATGTTGAAACGTAAGATGTTTACATAAATGTGGTTTGATGATTTGTGCATAATCAAAAGCCTTTATTAAATTGTAAAGAGTGCAAAGACAACACATCACATTTCAATCACTGCATGAACGATGCATGCTAAAACTGGACCGTGCAAAGAGGAATCCATAAATAAACATGACACAGAAATACATGAGACTTTTCTGGACCTGAGCCTTTTTAAGAGGGACTGAGAGATATATACGTCTACTGTGGCCTGAAAATCCATAATATGACATTCTTTTTGGGAATCTTGGATGCTGCGTCCTTCTCCTGCAGTCCTGACTCGCCACCCACTGAAAACATTTAGGCCCAACCGACACGGAAATGACTTAAGGAGTAACGCTGAAGTTTATTGTTGTGTCGGCGTGTCGTCCACACAGAAACGCCGTTTTGGGTGACTGTAAACGATACTTTTTGGGAACAGTTCCCAGAGTGCATAAATCCATATATGACTACCGTTTCAATGCAACGTAACTGTCTTACGGCTGACACCCACAGGATCAGGAACAGCTGCGCTCTGATCCGTCTTCAGCGGTCAGATCAAATATGCAAGGCTTCTTTTTTTGCTGGACGCCACAGCACGTCGCATCAATGCATTGCAGCGCAGCATGAGCAGCAGCGGAAGTTGTATGCGGCTACAGATCAAAATATCTGGTTAATTTTCAAAATAAAATGAAGTCAATATGTTTAACTGTTCTTCACTTGATAATAGGAGAGGCCAGAGTTGTGGGATTTGGGTTTATATACACCAATCGGCGGATCTCATTCAATGTCTCAAGGGGAAACATGTGAAGTCTCATGAGATTCCCTCACGTCTCATGAGAAATATCGATATCTTACGAGCGCTTCTCCTCCGATGGCAGCAGCGGATCGGATCCGGTGGGCGCCGTATGCTTGCGTATTTGAACCACCTGATCCGGGGTGGAGCAGAGCCATTCTGGATCCTGTGGAATCCCCAGGTTAAAGCGACTCAGCGTGTCCGGCCGAAACAACCTTTATACGCATGCTCTGTACTCTTCTTCTGTCCTTTGGTGCATTTCCAGGGTGGCATTACAGCCCTACTTACTGGTTTGGCGTATGCACTTCATCGTTTTCAGTAATTGCGTGTTTACAAAGATATTTACTGACACGATTCTGTCTTTATGGAAAACTTTTTCAAATGGCAGTTTTGTTTTGTGGACAAGGCCTTGGAGCATCATGAGACAAAATACTTGATAAATATGACCCTGAACTGTTGAGCAAGAACGAAGCTGGACTTCTGGGTTCATGAACACTTAAAGAGTGTTGGTCAAAGAAGAGCTGATGGCACACAATGGGGAAACGTGACCCTGTAACAACTTCATTGAAATTTAAAATAAGCAATACAAGTTTTCACTTTCAACATAATGTGTTTGTCTTTAAACTCTTAATCTACCTTTGCACCATGTTGTATCTCTACACACTGAAGAAACAGCTGACTATAAAAGTTTATTACAATTTAAGACCCATAATCAAAGTTATCAAAAAGCTGCATGCATTGTGTTGCAGCGCTAATTCTGACCCAGTTTTATAAACGTTAGTTATTCTTCCGGATAATTAATTCTTTCACATCTGTTACATGCTGATAACAATCCTGCATGGTCTCGCCCCTCGTGATGAAGTAACAGGTAAACAAAGAGGAGCAGATATTTGCAGGAGTCAGATGTGCGATCAGCAGATGCTGCTGACATGATACCAATGACGCGTTTACAAAGCACACCTTGTCAGTGAGCAAACTGACACGAGTTTTTAGTAAACACACCCTGAAGCCACTGTAGATGGATGGATGAGTGTCATGTGACTGTCAGGAGGAGAAACCGCAGACACTCAGCGCTTAACTTCTCTGGATGCCCTCAAACGCTGGTATTTGACATGAACAAGCACCGTTTTGCAGGAGCAGTGCTTCTTTGGGTACGTTTTAAACACTTGCTGGCGTTAAGCAGAGATGGAGAGCGTTATAGTATAATCGACAGCAGGGTTAAAGTCTGCAGGAAGCTTTGCATGCATGCATTGGAGCAATGCCAACTTTATTGTGACAAAGAGCAGGCAGGTGATTATAAATCCACAATAAAAAAATTGAATGTAGGTCAATGCAAGAGGGGAAGGCAAAGATCAGATTCATGAGCAGTTTTGTGCGGGAGATTTTACTATACCCCGGCCTGCAAGATACCAGGAGACGACATGGCAGGCGTTCAAGAACACTCACAACAGTACGTGCAAAACAGGATATAACGCAAGGCTTGAATTTTCTGGATTTTAGGGAGTCCCAAAGTCTCAACAGTGTTACACATGATGGGGTATTTTATCAAAACTCAAAAAAGTTTTTACCCTCTCGAGAAAAAATAGAAACCTACAAAAACAAACACAGCATTCAATTTGACTTAAACTGTCATTAGACTTGCACTCTTAAAAATTTCTAGAAAATTCCAGGATTTCTGGAGTTTCCTCATCCGTTGGCAGCATGGAGTTTTCCCAATAACTGTGGGTCTGGGGTTACAGTGCGCATGCAGAAAGTGTGAAAATGTCAGACTGTAATAGAAGCATTGTTCAATAAGAGGTATTGATCTATTGGTTCAGAGTCAGAATCAGAATCAGAAGTAGTACGCAATGACAACATAAATTTCAAAAACTCAGAACAATTAAAAACATAACGACACAACGTCATTGAGGGAAGAGGAGCGCGTTTTAATTCCTGAAGCTTCCTGACGCGCTGATGCACGTTGCCTCTCCTTCCGCATTTCCTACATCGCGGCTTCCCAAAGTTTTATTCTCGATGAATAAAAGGTAAATCCTGAGAAGGGCTTCTATCCAACCAAGATTGTGTGGGATAACTCCAGGCTAGGTAGCTCCATCTTAATCCCAAGAGAGCCTCCCGCGTGTACATAATTGTTTGTGGGTGCTGGTAACACCGGATAAAGTTCACAGACAACAATGCGAATAAAAGGTAAATAATCTCCATTTCGGCTAAAACTCTTGAGAGCAAGTCACAGAAAGTCCAGGGTATAGATCAGATGCTTATAGACGGGTAGAACGGACATAAAACGGACAAAAACACAGGAGTAGCAGAGCCACAAACGCCATCATTCGCTTCGTCTTATATTAGAGTACCCACACATGCTAACCTTATTCTTACACACACTCACTCCTGTTTGTGGCCTTAAACTTCAACATAGAGAGCAAGTTTGACAACCTCTGCCATTCTGCAGCTTTTTTTTCCAAGTAGCGAAACTTCAGAAAATACCGGCCTTGTTTCTCACCACTTGCTAGAACTTTTCTGGAAGATTTTCCTGCCACGATCATGAGTTCACCTGTACGTAACCTAAAAAATTAATCAGGGAACTGGAAGACACCTGAGTAAAGTCAGGCTGGAAATCACTGTTTCCAAGTTTGATCAGTTTCAGAAGTCTTGTGTTCGTGTGGCTGCAGCATCAGGAGAACTTAAGTAATTTAGTTCAATTAAATAGTGTCAATGACTTTTGAGGGTTGTCTGCCTCCTCTGTTGTGCAGAGGTGACAACTACCTCATTCGAAAGAACCGCAGAGCTGATTTTCACAGATTCTGTTTCTAAAATCTGATTCTAAGTCTGGTTTTTCGACTGAATATTTTCTGGTCACCGGAGGGTTATTTACCAAAAAATGAGTTTAATTCCAATTTTCATTTATAAATGGATTTCTCTTGGAAAAGGTGTTGAAAGTAAACCAGGATGGAGGCGCAGAGGGAGGCGACAGCTTTTAAAAGAAGTTCTCGGTGTTCAGAACTCAGAGTAAATACTGAAGCGAGGATAAACACTGTAAAGTAAATTTGTGTAACATGTCTGAGTTTAAACACAACAGCACTAATACCCTGTAAAAGATTTACTGACCAAACTGAGCTGTCTCTGTTTCTCATGTTGTTTTGTTTGATAAAATGCTCCGGGCTGTATTTTGTGTGAAAGGTGATCTGATAACATCAAATTGAAACTGATTATAAAGCCCCATGTCCTCAGGTGACATAAACATGAAGTGGTGCCGACTCTGTGTTATCAACAAACTGAAAGAGAAACTTAAAGCTGTGATCATTGTGCTCTTGTGTGTTTTTACCAAAAGCAGCTTGTTTTCAGTCCACACAGCCATTCTCGCGCCTTTTCTATCAGGATCTATCACCCCGGGCAAAACCTCCACTTTTCTAATCTGCTTCATCTACCTCGTACATACATGTTCAGTCACACCTGGTGTGTCAGTCCAGTTTGCTGTAACTGATGAGACAAGGGCACCTGATCACACCTTTTACGACAAACTACCTTAAGTTAATGCAACGGCAGGTGCAAAGATGTTTGATTCTCTGTTAAAACTCTGTTTTTACTCCATGCACGGATCTGGTAGCTTTTCTTTTAAGATTGTTTTCCTGAGTCATGTTTTGGTTTTTGCTTTCATAGGTAAAGAAAAATGGTCAAAAACAACTCAGGAAAAGAGGAAGAAAGTAACTAAAACTAAGAGGCTCTGATGTTGTCCTTGAGAGCTGGAGAAGCAGTCGCAACAGCTTAGCTAGCAGCCCTCATTAATTCCATCCCGTGTCCAAGGAAGAGCATGAGTCTCAGTTCGATGTTGGGCTCTTTCAACGCATTTGTATTTATTCGTTTATATAGTCTATTTTAAGGGAGCCAATGCAAATTGCAAAGCAACTACCGTCTGTCACCAACAAACTTTAGTGACTGATGTTTTGCATCCATAAATATTTCAACCAAGCACAGATCGAAGTGCAAAAAGTGTATAACTAAGTGTAGTTCTCAAAGGCGCCACATACGACTATCTGCAAAAGTTGACAAATCTATGCAAAAAAGCCAAATTTAACAGCAAAATCAATCATGATAGAGCCTAGTGCAAAAGGAGTTTGGGTTTTTAGCTCTTTGGCTTTGGTCGACCTTGTATAAGGTAAAGAGGTGGAGTATTTTTTTTTTGTAGGACAGTAGGGGAAAGTCCCACCTCCTTTGTTTCTGATTAGCTAGAAAAGTTGGAAACGTCATCACGGCTCTGTACATCAAACAGAACATAACAGAACATTATCGCACTTCTAAATCTCCTAATTATAACTCTAATCCACATCCTAACCCTAACCCTAACCCAGCACTCCTAGCCAATCAGAGACAAAGAAGGGCGGGACCTCTCCCTACTATCCTACAAAAAAAAAATTCGCGTCCAGGAGAGCCATTAACCTTTGAGCTAACAGCAACAGTGGGCCTGTCCTCAGTCAAGTTAACTCCGCCTCTTATTTTGCAAATTTTTAGATCTTGAAAAGGTTGTCAAGAGAATCCCCCCACACAGTGTGTGCAGAGAGAAATTAACTATTCAGACCAAAACTAGAAACACAGTCGCTTCTTACTGCTTTTGAGTTGGTGTGCATGTGTAGACAACCTCTAGTGGACGTTCAGGGAACTGCAGCTTTTAACACTTTAACATCAGCTTGACATCCAGAAGTTGTTAATGCATGTGGCTGAATTGACTAGTTTAGTTAGCGGGTATACTGCCATTGGAGAAAGCTGAGGGGAGGTGAACAGCCGCTCAGCTCATAGCCCACCCTGCTGCCTGGTGTCCACGGGAGAGACACCGATTTTTGCAGGAAGCTTTCAGAGTCAGTGTCAATTCAAATTCAGATGATCTTTACAAAGAATGCAGCTCCAAGGAGATGTGATTCAAAACTAGAGCTCATGTTTGTGAATTTGAGAATTGTTCGTGTTTTTTCAGACTTGCCGTCATGCTTATATTATTCCAGAGCAACCTGTTTTAGAGGCAACTTCGACACACGCCATGCTTAAAGACAAAATCACTTATTTTTCGCTTGTTCTGCTGCTTTGACTGTTTGTCTCTCAGGTATGATCAAACCGTTCAAGAGTCTTGTAAAAGCTCATTTAAACTTCTACCGAACTACAACGACTTTGACACTTTCTACTGCAGAATTCTCTCGATTTTTCCATTCGCCTGAATTTTTTGTCTTCTCTTCATGGGTCGAAGCCTCTCTGAAAACACTTTCCCTCACTGAGGAATCCCAGAGTTCATTTGCCCGGTGTCAGCGCCGTCCTCTGAGTGAGTGGAGGACAGAGGGGGAGAGTTGGAGGCCCTGAGTGATGGAGCGTTGTGAATGACGATCGCACAAAACACCGGGGAGGAGCCGGCTGACCTGCGTGAATGGGACGAGAACTGGAGGAGAAAAGGGGCTCTTTAAAACTCAATCTGACTGAGCGTAAATGTTTGTCCACAGCGTTTCTGCTGCCATTACAGGAATGCTATTAGCTGGCCTATTGTGCCCTGTGGGAATAGCCGGGCTCAACCTGGCCGCTAAGACTGGAGATTTGTCTACATGCTTCCGATACAAAAGGTATAGGAACCGAACACTCAGACCGACACAAAAGCTGCGGAAACGTGATCTTCTGTTTTTTATAAGGCCCAGTTTTGTGTAGCTGCTTCCGCTGGCTGGTGTAATTGCAGGTCTCCACTCCCTGCTGTGGACCTGGCCCCGGTCTCTGCCCCTGTCGCTTTGTTTCCTCAGCTCAGGTCTCCCGCCCTGGCTGGGAGCGTTCAGGGAATATCTCCTTCTGTTTTGGGTGTGCCTCTGTACCCACACAGATGGCGACTGAGGCCCCCTGCATGTCAAAAACGCCGGGCTTATCGCTAGCGGTGACTTCATTGCCTGTGACTTCATGCTGCACACACGGCTGCTTTTTATTTGCATACGTACCACGTGTTTGAACAAAACAGAGGCTGTTTGGCCCAGAGGGAGAATCTGATAAGAAACAGGAGGGTTTGGATTCCTGCTCTGCCTCTCTGATGTGCCTGTTCATTCATGATTGACCAGGTGACAAGAAACATCCAAAAGTGTGACAAATAAATAGTTTTACACATATCTGCTGGTGATTAGTTACATCTGTAAACCATGAATCGGCTTCTTTTAATCTGCCCACCTAGAGTAATCTCAGATCTATGTAGGTCAGTCGGTTCCAGGTGAAGTTAGTTGGCGTAACGGACGTTATTTAACCGTGAAATCAGTCGGCCTGTCTGTCACACTCGTAAACCTTTCTAAGGAAGGAGTGTTGGGATTTTGGGACTGATGTTGACTACCATCGACATCTTTGTATCCTCTCTGTTTGCACATTAAATGTAGTTCAAAAAGTTGATGTATTGAATCAATCCAACTGAAACTGGACTTCTAAACACATCAGACCAACTTATATGACACTAAATCAAACTGCTCATGGTTGGACTAACACACCTGAGAAAAGGTTGGAGATTGATTTGCAATTGGACTGAAACTGGCATAAGCATTCTGAGCATGATCCGTAGTTTGAGGCATACTACTACCTACCATAGCAGAGGCAGACACACTTTTGCCACCAAATCAATTCTGTCTTGGACAAGGACAAGGATGATAGCCCGGTTTAATTAAGGCGACCATATGTCCTTTTTTACCCGGACATGTCCTCTTTTTGGGGGGCTGTCCAGCCTTGTCTGGGGGAGTTTATAAAATCCTTCAAATGTCTGGGGTTTTGGAAGTTTGAGTTTGTCGTGTGGACTAACTGAGCTAGAAGCACGTAAGAAATGCTCGACCCAACTGGGAAAACGCTCAAAATTTACAACACGCAACTCCGTGACTCCGCCCCACATAGTAGTGTCCTCTTTTTGGGGATTCAGAATATGGTCACCCTTGTTTATTCACACAGATGAGCTTTAACTAAAGAAATCTGAGAACAACACAACATCAGTGCTATGAGAGATGAGGGGTGTGTTTAGTCGGCTAAAGGATAAAATGCCGTCACCCTTTCTTTTTGGCACTAGAATTAGAGACAATGGGTGGACAAGCTTTTGCTAATTTCATTACTGTAGCTCAAAATAACAGTCAATTATTGTGCCTCAGCAATACAGCAGCTTTGGTTGATATTAGGGATGTCCCGATCGGAAATTGATATCGGTCAGATGTCGGCAAAAAAACAAATATCTGATTATATCGGCCTGCATCTAAAATCTAAGATATCAGCACTCCGATACAAGCAGTCCATTCCAGACTCCGCTCCAGCACCGCTATCTAGCATTCCCATCTCGCTCAGGTAACACAAATGCCGCATAAGGTACTAACAAAGTAGCAAGGAGTAGGTGTGACATCGTCCGTGTGCCAGTATTTTTGTTTAAGTACGGAAAAGACGTCGCAGCTGAGTGCAAAACTTGCCATGCACAAGTTTGTGCCAATATTGGATCAGTATCAGTCTCGGCCATTACTGAAGGCTACAATATCGGTATCGTATCAGAAGTAAAAAAGTTGTATCTGGACACCCCTAGTTGATATCTACCACCACATTGCTATAATGCTCATCTCTCTAGATGTGAACAGGGACCACATGATCTAGAAAATGTTTAGCCAGTGTTTTCTCACCTTTAGATTATTTAGCTAGCTGGAACTAAAATTTTCTGAAACACTCCTAAATGAGTCACTCCAGATCATCCCAAGATAAGACGCTGATATTTTTTAGTATGGCCTCGTAGACCCCGAGGTGTGGTGGCCAGACTAAACTGATACAAAAGAACACAAAAGAGGCAGTTTAACACCTAAACCCCATCCTCTCCGGCTGTAATACTTTAAGACAGATAACAGTGACACAATGAAAACATGCTTTTATGGTCGGGTGATTAAGTCTGAGATGCAATTTTATCGTAAACATATGGAACTTTTATTCTCCCCAAATTCCTTCTTTTTGTCCTCCTCATGCCTCACCAGTCTCCCCCACCCGCTGCCTCCCTCTCAGCATTTTGTTTGAGTTAGTCATGGCAGCTGTAAAAACTTTACAAACACTACATCTGTTTCAAATACTAACCAATACATCATGAGGTGCCTGTCAGGAAACATACTGATAGATCATGCTGAATTTGTTTGAATTTAATAAATCAGTCTGATACGACATGCAAACTTTATCATGTCAGCTCGAAGGTAGAAGGGGTTGTGGTTCTCTAAGGAACGAAAAGGGGTGTAGACACTCCAAACCTAAAAGCCCAAAACACAGAAGAAGATGATATTAAGAAACTAGTATCATGTATCACAAAATAACAGCTCATCAACATCCTGGTTTATATGCTAAACTGTGTTGTTTTTTTTTAAGCATTTTTTAGCACTTGGGTTTTAAAAACTCAGCGGGTTTTTCCAGCAGTCAGTTCTGTTTACCAGCGCAGAATCTGGAGGGATTCCAGTCATAAGAGGGAGATGACTCATTTTGCAAGTAGTGGACATGTTGAGGAAGAGGCATTGCTCTTCTCGACAATGGAAGTGGAGGATATTTCTCAAGTATCACTTGCTGATACTTGTGTCAACTGACCTATTGTAAGTAGTTATGTCAACAGTATGTTAACAGTATGAAAAAAGTCCCAAAATGTTGGTATTTCCTGTGGCACTAGTTGCAGACATACTACGCTCACCTTGCCTGGCTTGTTTCGTCTTTCCATGTTTGGTGTGTGTACATTCATATCTCAGCCAATACATGTGTCAGGATTGTTGTTGGCCTGCTTTTTACATACCGTGGCAGCGCAAATGATGAGAAATTTTTTTTTTACGTCACATGGTATTTGTCAGTCACCTGCTGCTCTTTCTCTGGGGATTCAGGTGAGAGTGTGCTAAGATGGCAACATTCATCAGCTCTCTTTGCGACAGTCATGATAATGATAATAAACTTGGCTTGCCGTGGTTCGAGTAACTCTGGTTGACTGACCGAGTTAACCAATCCCAGACTAATCCATGAGTCCTTTGTGCCTAAATCTAACCAACCACGGAAGGCACCACGCAATATAAACCAGAAGCAACGGCGTCTGTCATTTAAAACCCACTTTCTAATTTCTAATTTCTGATTAAGTAAGACTAGCATAAGGAGGCAACAGTGCAGGGAGAGCAGCTGATATGAAGGTGAGGAGATCAGTCCTAAGGTATAAATCGACAATTTTTTTTGGCCCAAACACATCATGACGCTTAAGTCTCACTCTTGTCATTTTCTGGCAGCCCTGTAGTGAGACAAACTTTATATTCTCCTGATAACGAATCTTCAGGTTAGTGGAAAAACAAAGATAAATGTTTGAATCACAGAATTACGACTTGAGCAGTTTTCCTTTAACGGGCGCTCTAATCCCACACAGGCATGTTTGAAACCACGCCAACTCGGCATACATGTGTGAGTGGGAGCAACCACATCCGGACAAGACACCACAGTCAGTGACCACAGATATACCACTAATATCTACTCTGTGGAAGTGTGTGTGTGAGGGAGAGGGAGAGGGAGGGAGTGTGTGAGCTTGTATATCAGCGACCGTCACCTGGAAGTAATAGTAGCCCTGCATTCCAACCCTGATGTAAAGTGTTTCTCATTAGTGGAGGGAAAAGTCCCTCACAGGCCGTCCTCGGGCTAAACACCTACTCCACTCTCCTGGAGAGCGCTCAGCCTCCACAAACAGAGTCATCACCGAGTGTGAATGCGATCTGTGAAACCTGTGAAGTGACTGAGAGTGTTTTGGTTGTAAAGAGAGCGGGCTCGCGGATAGACAGAGTGAGCCAGATGCCGATCATGTGTTTTGATAAGTGTGATGATTAATTGTCCGTCTTTTAAGGGTGTGATGTGAAGCAGACCCGCGGGTAGAGGCAGACAGAGAGTGAATGGCGGTGTGTTTCTGTTCTGTCGACGGGCGGGCGGGCGGAGGGGGTCGGCCTGTTGTTTGTGCCTGGTGATAAGACTTTTGTCTGTGCAGATTGCTGCCTCAGCACAGGCTGCAGCCACAGAGATGCCACTGGTTGACAGATGCAGCAGAAGCAGCATGTGTCTCACAGAGTGGATGTTTAGTCTGCCAGCGGGCCGCATGCCGAGTCTGTTCACTGCAAAAATAAATTCACAACAAGAAGGCTGTCACTGCTGTGTTTTATCAGAATCCTGTTTTTATTTTGAGCAAGAGAAAATCTGTCACTCCTGCTGGATTTGTTTTAACGAAGCCAGAGATGAGAATAAAAACCTCATGTCTATTTTATGTGGAGCATTGTTGCTTCACTCTCGTAAAACAACACAGAAACACTTCAAATGACCCCAACCTTAAGGTCATAATGACACACAACTTGCTAAAACCACTATTGACACCCTGGAAATGATACTAACAAAAGGTCAATAATGATAACTTCAAATGTGTGGTGACTAAGTACTGAGAGTGATCAAATTCCACTCAGTTTGGACCTGTGATGTTGTTTTCATTTTGTCCCATCAAAAGTCACGTACACTGTCTATTACATAATATAATGTCAATACATAACTGCACTAAGTCCAACAAGTTAAAAAGTTTGTTTCCGTTAGCTTAATCCCCTCATATCAGTATTACTATCATGAGACATGTTAAGTGTCTTTTTCATCATGACAGGGGAGTAACAGTGCTGTCACTACTTAAAGCTTGCACAAGCTGAATTTAAGACCGGGTTAAAGTTGCAAAAACATCTTTTAAATCTCACTGACAGTACTGCAGATGATAACCTTCTCACAGGGGTGCTAAGTTTTCTTTGTAACATCTTATCACGCTTGTTGAAAGACCCGCTCCGATGAAAATCATGTTTTTCTTGTTGTCTACATGTTCATATGGCATTTTTCTGATGCTACAGGACATATCACGAGAAAAGTAAGTGCGAAATTGCATTTATGAGTATTCCTGCATTCCAATCGGCAGCTTCAGACACATTGAGATTTCCTACATCACAAATCCAAACTCCGTCTCCAGAGAGGACGATCGCGAAACAAGCGTGTGCGTTAGTGAATTGCAATATTCATAAGAAAGCTAATTATGATATTAACTTTCATCATGCCCCTAAAGACATTAGTGTCCGAGAACGCAATAGCTCCTATGTTACCTGCTACTTCTACTACACTGGCAATGTTTGGCTGCAAGCTAGTGTGAAGAGAAGTGTGAAGAGGAGTGTGCAGAGCAGCGCTGTCTCCGCCCACGACTCAGGGGCAAATTGCTAATGATGTACTGGAGCCTGCAGAAGAAAAGCCCTTGAAATTGACACAGGTCACGATTTTGGCGAAAAACTTCATAATCACAATTTAAAGACGACTGAAAACACTTGAAGTTGTAAAAGAAAAAAGATTGAAGTGCAGCTTCTATTTATCTACATAGGGTTTTGATAGTCTGTTGCAGTTCTCTTATTTTGTTCTGCATCTTCAATCTGACACCAGAGTTTTCTCCAAGATCAACAATCTTAATGTCGGCATAAAAATCTTATTTTCTAACTACAACAACAATTCGATACTCAAACACAATCAATAGTTTTTGATATACCAGGAAGTGAAGCAGCCAGCTTCAGAAGCAGACAGATTGTCTCTGTGGTGTGTTCTGATCTGTTTGTCATATCAAGAATGTAGGTTGAACCAGGCATAAGTTTTGTTGCGTAAAGCTAACAAACTGTTACATAAAATGGATATCATTCTGGACAGGCTTTAATCTACTCTGCTGTACTGCTGGCACTTCCCAATCGTTTCCACATAATTCAAACACATCACATACCGCCACATAATGCAGGGTCAGAGGGTCATAGAAAATTCACACAGTTCTGCAAAACCAAGGACAGATCATGCTTAATAGTGCTTTTAGCCTGAGGGGATATGTTAGTTAAATGAACGCGTTCGGTTCTTGTGGTCTTTTTTTTTTATAAACATTTTTGTCGTTGATTCAGAGGATGAGATGGTAATTATTGGTGTTTTTATCCAAGCAAACTGTTGGTTTGGGAGCAGAGATACACCCACACGCTGCTACAGCTGATAATTTCTTGTTTTGGAGCTTATTTCTGTACTCCACTGTAGAACAAAACACATGCTGAAAGAAATTTAGCAATTTGCATCAACTCAGAACAACCCACAAGGAGCAGAGGAATTCATTTTTCTGGACTCATCTTGTCCTGCAGCTCACGATACAAACCCTCATAACTGGCCAAGATTCGTCCCAAACATGTCATACTGAATCGAGGTAAAAGGAGACTTTTGCATGTACTATTTTCATCTTGACTTTGTTTCTTTCAAACACTTTTAGAGGTTGTTACTTTAAGAGATGGTAAGACCTGTCAAAGATGGCGTTTGTCACTGTTAAATGAAGGGCAAAGCAGTACTTGTCAGTTTAAGATTCCTTAGACATAATCCTTGATCCTGCACCAGGTCCTTTTCCGGGCCTTCAACACGCTGACTTCACCTCCCACAGCTCCTCTCCTTAAAGTCTGGAGTCTGTTAACACGTCTGCACCCGCCTCTTTGATCGTCCTTCAGGCCAGTTGCTCCCAATTACTGACAAATGCATGTAGAGAATCTGTGACCCCTGGCTTCAGTAAACAGGCCTGCCACTGTGTGTGCTGCGTCAGATCAGCAGCATTTAAAGCAGGAATTTAAAGGCCAACAGGAACTGGACCAAAATCATAACAGAGATGCCCCTCGAGCGTCGGTCATTCCAACTACAAGGCATTCCTACAGCCTCTCACCATCAGTCAGAGCGTCTATGAAGGGCTCCAAGGGCCTGCTACCCTTTTACTGTGATCAATATCTTATAATGTGTCTCATTTATCTCTGTTAACTGTTTCTATTAGGGTTGTATTTGTCATAGTTCTTTTCAAAAATCATCCAATAATTATGATCGATATTCCAGATTTTTGCTGTAATGTGCTTTGGAGGATTTGCGGTCAGACCCTGTGCAGTAGGTTTATGTACCATGCTGTCTGTTTTAGGTGTCTATCAAAGGGTGAAAAAGGTTTAAATTGTCTCCTTGTTTATGGTAAATTTGGTAGTTGTGAGTTACAGATCTAGTGCAGGCAACGGATTTTCCCAGAATTGTGACACCTACCTTCACAGTCCACTTGTTGGCTTAAACTGAGGAGTCTAGCAATGTTAAGTGACTCATACCTGAGCTGTTTAAACTGGAATTCAAATTCCCGCTGATAACCCGCCCTATTGTACACAACATTTTTTACAGTAAGAGAGATATCAAAATGACATATTTACTCAGCTGTACTGTGCTTTGTTGGTTGTCGTCCTGCACACTCGTGGGCTTTAGCTACTTCAGACTGGAATTTAAGATCAAATACATAGAAGGTAAAGTTCTTTATGGACTCTATCAGCCTTGTATGGCAGATTTCCCCTGGGATATCTGTTGTCTTGAATATTTTAGAAAGTGGTAATCGACCCATTTTGTTTGATTTCATGAGGAAAAACCTCACATTGATTGAGTTTCAGAACCATTTTTCCATCCAGTTTGCAAACACAGCATCAGAGCATTTATTTTTCAGCCTCAGTGAATAATACTAATTGGCCTAAAACATCTACGAATGTTATTTTAGCGCTTGCCTCGTCTGAACATAAGGCCTCTTGTTTCAGGCCTCCGGTTTTGCTTTATTCCGACTTGGTAACTGGAACGCAGCATTAGTAAGAAAAGTTGAGATAATGTTTGCTTTAGCTTCTTTTATTCCATGTTTAGGGCATGCTGTATCTCTCTCTCTCTCTGACCCTTCCAGCACCACCAAGTTGTGATTTTCTCATTGCTACAGATAATCTGTTTTTTGCAATAAAGCTTTATGAAGATGATGCACAGGTTTATCTCTTCAAAGCAATCCTTTAGTATCAAAATGTTCCTTCTCAGCAAAAACCAAAAGAACAACAAAAAGTTAGTATTAGTACTGTTTCAAATCATGATTTACATCTGGACTTAAAAGAGCTTTTATCATCAGTTGCGGCCTCACCATGTCATCTAATCTGTAACACAAGTTCAGAACAGATACCATCAGGATGTTTTAGATTTAAACCCAAGATGTGGTCGAGTTGAAAGCTCAGTCGTACCTCGGTTCACCTTGTTTTTCTGTCTTGTTTTGCATTGGCATGCTGATAATCAACGAGAGGCCACTTCTGCAGATCTGAGTGAGGAGGAAGGGCCGTGTGGCTGTTGGCCAGTTGGCAGCGTGCACGCTACCCTTGGAGAGGTTGTTTTGAGTGTTGGAGGCAGTAGTTCCTGGATGTTTGCTCCAGGGCTCAGCACTGCCCTGCTGCACCTGGTATTTTTACACCAACACTGATTGTGGAATTAATTCAGCTCAACCCACACAACATTCACAACACAAAGCTTTTAGTCCTCTTCTTTAACCAAATGTGTGACATAAAAAATGATGTAACACAAACGATCTAACAGATTTTCAAAGCTGCAATCTGGTGGGAGAGAATTCTGGATAAGACAACTACTTTTAATTTAATCTGAGCAGATCCTGAGGAAAACATGAGAGAAAGAGGGCAGACTCCAAAAGAAACTGTTCTCTGCTAATAGTTTCGAGTTGAATGACGCAGGTTACAATACGGGGAGGAAATAGAAACATCTTATATAGTCGATGGAAAGGTCACAGCAAATCAGGGCTGCTTCTTTTATTGCCCGAGCTTCTCACCAATTGTGTCACCATAGAAACTGAGAGAAGAGGCGGGAGTCAACTCAGTCCGTCCAAATGGTCTGAGAAGATGCAAAGCAACACCTTTTTATATGTACTTAGTCCATGGATGGACATGAGGGACTTTGTAGGCATGTGGGGATAATTAAAACCCAAAACTAGAAACTGGATCCTATTTGTAATCATCACAGAGAAATATAACAAAAATGGATGTTCTATCGAATTTGTTGGGTTATTTTAAGTGGTTTAAATCACAGACTGAACACTCGCAAAAACACTTGGATAAATGTAAACATGTCTGGGCTAAATTATCCAACTAAGGCAGTGGCTCCCCAAAGTTTATGGCATGGAGACATATTGGGGGATGTTGACATGTAATGTGGAACTTTTGCCTCAACGTCAAGATCATTTTCAAGAC